CTTAAATTCCTTAGCTGCAGTGTTGTGAAGTCTTAGATAATTTGATGCACAAATAGATTACAACTATGCATTACACTGTTACTTTTGCATCATTGGTAGTACTGTTCCATGTTGGTAGCCCAGATAATCAAGACCTGACTGTTTCTTGCCACTGGATTCTGGAAGCCTTGCCCTTTCAACTGGATTTATGTTTATTTCTGCTGCTGTGAACCCCAAAAGTAATGCAGTAGGTTTTAATTTAAAATTGTTTAATTCTATTATTGATAAATATTTATTGTAATAAAAGTAAAAAGTAAATAATTTTTAAATCCTTCTAACTGTTTTCAGATTGTCTTCTTTGTTTTTCCTTGGAAGGTACAAGAGGGGAGGGAGCTAGGAGGAGAAAAATAATGTCCAGCCACTTGTCTCAGAGTTATTATTTTAGAGCAAAACATTAAATGGTTTTTCGTTTTGTTTGTTTAAAGAACGATCAGCCCAGGGGCGCCTGGGTGGCTCAGTTAAGCGTCTGCCTTTGGCTAAGATCGTGATCCCAGGGTCCTGGGATGGAGCCCCCAGTGGGGCTCCCTGCTCTGCGGGAAGCCTGCTTCTCCCTCTGCCCCTCCCCCCACTCATTTTCTCTCTTTCTCTCCCTCTCTCAAATAAATAAAATCTTAAAAAAAAAAAAAAAAAGAACGATCAGCCTGCTTGCTCCTGGGTGCTCTGTAATCCTGTGCCTTGTTTCAGAAAGCAGGGTACCTGGTGGCAGTTAACAGCTGTTCATGATGTCCTGTTCTTGATTTCCCCAGAACTGGGTACTGGGCAGTGTATAATGATAACTGGGTCACACTTAAATTAGTTTGTACAGTGGTTGTCTCATACTTAAAAACATTTTCCTATCGAAAGAATGTTAATTTTCCAGGCTAATTCCACAAGAACCGAATGGCCACACTTGGTACACTTAAACAATAAGCTTTATTGAAAAACCTCATATTTTCGGGCACTTGGGTGGCTCGGTTGGTTAGGCGACTGCGTTCTGCTCAGGTCATGATCCTGGAGTCCTGGGATCGCGCCCCGCATCGGGCTCCCTCCTCAGCCGGGGGTCTGCTTCTCCTGCCCCTCTCCCCCCATGCGCGCGCGCTCTCTCTCTCAAATAAATAAATAAAATCTTAAAAAAAAAAAAGAAAAACCTCATATTTTCTAACATTGCTTCTGAGAATATTTCCTGTCTTTTACATCAGAATTGATCTCTGGCAGCAGGCATTTGAATTTTTTTTCTGTAATAGGTTTGAAGAAGGTGAGGAGAAAATGTCCATATTGTAACCCAGGCTAGTTCTCCAGCAGTGGGCTCATAATCCCCTGTCCCTCCCAGCCTCTTGGTTGCCCTAGCAGTTATCCCTGCCCTTCTATCTGCAGACCTCCCAACACCGAGAGAGTGCCTGACGGCATAGCAGGTGCGTCCTAGGTAAGCAGCTTGGGTCTGTCCAAACGTAGACGCTGTGCCTCCAAAATGTCCTGCTTTTCTTCCTGCTCTCATCTTTTCTCCTTGCTCATGAGTTTCCTGAAAGAAAAATTGATGTCTGCTCCTTCCATTTTTTCTTTTTGCTTTTATTCTGAAAGTTTCTCAACACCTCCCAAGCTTTTAATGCCATGACTGTTTCTTAGTCATGTTCAGCCTGGCAGGCTTCGACCTGGGGCAAGTTACTTATTTTTTTCTGAGCCTCAGTTTCTTCACCTGTAAAATGGGATTAGTAATATTACCGCAGTCATGTGTATGTGCTATGAATGATGCAAGGAGGTATTTAGCACAGTGTGTGGTCTAAGGTAGGTCCTCGGTTTCTGCTAATAACTTTGAACCCTTCCCTAAGCCTTATGACCTACTCTTGAAACTTCCCTTCTTCCTTCCCTTTCCTGTTCTGTCCTTTGTACCTTTGGTAGTCAATACATGAAGATGATGGGTGAGGCAGTTCTAAAAATAACTTGAAATGAGTAAAAGAAGATTGCCTTCTGAGAATCTATTAGTAAAATTCACACAAATTTGGGAGACAGGAATAAGCCAAGAAATTACGTAAATGTTTGAATTCCCAAACCCCAATTAAGATGATTTGGTGTAATCTTACGGATGTGGAATTAAGTATGTGACTTGACTTCATATACTAAAATCTAGTCAGTGTATCATTTTTCTGGAAAAAGGCTATATACTGAAGGTAGATGGCGAGCCTGTAGCATAGCAAAGAAAGCCCATACATCCAGAAGAGTTTGCATTTATCATCCCAAACTTACCCAGGGATGGGATGGAAGGACTATCGAGTCTTTGTGGCAAGTTATACCCATTGTGGGCCCCTCAGTTCATTGCAGTCAATCGTACAACATCAGGAAACTTGCCAATTATAGTTTGATTTCCTTTGTAGATTATCCACAGACATGTGCTGGTCACAGGTCATAAATACACATGCTTGTGTGTCAGTTGTAGTTTCCTGCTCAAATTAGGGTATCCTCTTTTTCTTTTGTGAGCTTATTAGTGTAAGTCAATTCTCCAAAGCAGCTCTACTTTTTGGAGTATTGCCTACCAGTGAGGACCAGACTCTGTTTGTGAATTATCAAGATGGACCTACACCTACAACCCACCCCCAAATCCCTCTCACCTGTGACATTTGCCTGCTGCAGTCTCTTCAGGAACTCCTGTCACCACTCTTTAAAAAAAAATAAACTTTATTTTTTTATTACATCAAAAGTGATTTGTATTATTTGTAAAGTTTTTTTAGACTAGAAAATAAAAACCACCCATAGACCCACACCCAGAGATACCAACTACTTTGTGTTTTTTTTCCCCCAAATCAAAAGCTTTACTAAAACAATGTAAATTTGGGAAATAATGGATATTAATTTAATTTCTACAGTTTAATTCTTTTCCCCGAGTTTTTATTTGAAGTCCAGTTAGTTGACATGCAGTGTACAATATAAGTGATTCAACACTTGCATACAACACCCCGTGCTCATCACAAGTGCCCTTCTTAATCCCCATCACCTATTTCATCCATCACTCCACTGACCTCCCCTCTGATGACTATCAGTTTGTTCTCTATAGTTAAGAGTCTGTTTCTTGGTTTACCTCTCTCTCTTCCCCCTTTGCTTGCTTGTTTTGTTTCTTAAATTCCACATTCCAATGAAATCATACGGTATTTGTCTTTTTGACATAATACTTGAGCTCCATCCATGTCGCTGCAAATGGCAAGATTTCATGCTTTTTTATGGCTGTGTAATATTCCATTTGTGTGTGTGTGTGTGTGTGTGTGTGTGTGTGTGTGTATACACACACACCACGTCTTCTTTATCCATTCATCAGTAGATGGGACAGACACTTGGGCTGTTTCCATAATCTGGCTATTTGTAGATAGTTCTGCTGTAAACATCGGGGTGTATGTATCCCTTTGGTTTTTTATTTTTTATTTAAATTCCAGTCAGTTAACATACAGTGTACTATTAGTTTCAGGTGTAAAAATATAGTGTACTTGCATACAACAAGTAGGATACAAAATCAATGTACAGAAATCTTGCATTTCTTTTTCTTTCTTTTTTTTCTTTAGAGAGGGAGCGGGGGTAGAGGCAGAGGGAGAGTGAGAGAGAGTCTTAAGCAGGTTCCATGTCCAGCTCAGAGCCCCACATGGGGCTTGATCTCATAACCCTGAGATCATGACCTGAGCCAAAATCAAGAGTCAGATGTTTAACTGATTGAGCCACCCAGGCGCCCCAGAAATCTATTGCATTTCTATACACCAATAATGAAGCAGCAGAAAGGACTCAATCCCATTTACAATTGTACCAAAAACAGATATCTAGGAATAAACCAAACCAAAGATGTAAAAGATCTGTACTCTGAAAACTATAAAACACTGATGAAAGAAATAGAAGACAACACAGAGCAATGGAAAGACATTACATGCTCATGGATTGAAAGAACAAATATTGTTAAACTGTCTATACTCCCTAAAGCAATCTACACATTTAATGCAATCCCTATCAAAATACCTATAGCATTTTTCACAGAACTAGAACAATCCCAAAATTTGTATGGAACCACAAAAGACTCCGAATAGCCAAAGCAACCTTGAAAAAGCAAAGCAAAGCTGGAGGCATCACAATTCCAGACTTCCAAGTTACAGTACAAAGCTGTAGTGATCAAAACACTATTATGATACTGGCACAAAAAGAGACACATAGATCAGTGGAACAGAATAGAAAACCCAGAAATGAACTCACAACTATACGGTCAATTAATCTTCAACAAAGCAGGAAAGAATATCCAGTGGGAAAAAGAAATGTCTTCCACAAATGATGTTGGGAAAACTGGCCCACTTTCTTATACCATACACAAAAATAAATTCAAAATGGATTAAAGACCTAAATGTGAGATCTGAAACCATAAAGATCCTAGAAGAGAACACAGGCAGTAACTTCTTTGATATCAGCCTTACTTTCTGTTCATTTTTCTTCCCTATATACTAGATACATTTCCAATAGAACTTGGATCACACTCTACACATTGTATTACATCTCTTCTTCGTTTAATACATCTTAATCTCTCTCTAGGTCAGATCCGTTCTTAGTGGCTGCATTGTTTTCCATCCCATGAAAGCTTTGTCAGTTCCCCTGTTGATGGATTTTGGGGGTCATACCAGTTTTTTAATATTATAAATAACCGCAGTGAGCACACAGATACATCTAGGTACATTTCTTTCATTCAGCAAACACTGGTTGTGCACTTACTACATACTAGGTATTATGCTAGGCGCTATTTGTACAGTGCTGAATGAAACTGATGTCATTTTCACCCCGCGAAGGTAGAGCCTAAGTTGCATTCTCTCTCCAGGATAAAGCCCTGGGCTGGCATGCAAATACAGGTGGGCGGGGCCTGAGGTGGTGTGTGTGTGTGTGTGTGTGTGTGTGTGTGTGTGTGTGTGCGCGCGCGCGCGCGCGCGCGCACTCCAGCTGCCGGTCAGGTGACTGCCTTTCCCTGGCAACGGCTTGTTGTTAGCAACCGGGCGGTGGTCTGGCTGGTGGTCCGGGCGGAGCTGCCTGGGGCGGGAGGCACTGTCATGAATCCGCCGGGACCCCTGGGGGTCCTGGAGGAGAAGGAGGAGGAACACTTGTCCACTCCGATTCTCGGGCCGTCCATACATTCTGACAACCCTCAGGAGCGGATCCAGGCCCGGCGCCTCCGCATCGCGGCGCGCCTGGAAGCCCGGAGGCGGTGAGCGGGGGAGGGAGGGGGCATCTGGGCGGGTCCGCAGCGGAGCGCCCCGGGTACCCGCGACGCAGGGCGGGGACGAGGCGGGCGCCTTCCCCGGGCGGGGGACTCTGAGGGGAGCGGCCGGGGAGCCCCGTGTGTGAGCGGAAAGATAGGCGGTGAGATAGGAAAAATTTCTTCCGGAAGGTTCAAGCAAAGTATGGGATATGAAAACATTCAACACACTTGTAAAGTCAAAGACGGAAATAATAGTCCCTTCAGCGCTTTTATTGAGGGCCTGCTGTGCCATGCACTGAGAGCAATACGCTGAAGACACAGGCCATCCGTGACCTCCCCTTAGAGGTCTTCTTTCCTTCTTCCATCCCAACCTGCCTTCCTTCCACAAGCAGTTCTGCAGCGGACTTCCGCTGTCACTTCTGCTGGTCTCAGTGGCTTATCTGCTTGGATGACACAAACCCTCATTCCTGAAGGGTCTGAGACTGATATTCATACCCTTCTCAGGCCAAGGTTGTTGCACCTGTCCATTCACAGACACAGTGGGCTGTCATAAGGGGGTACCAAGAGGCACCTGCATGATCTTCTGAATTCCTCAAACACCCTCCCTGTGTAACGGCACTTACACCTTGTCCTGCTGGCCAGGGTCAGCTACCCTACTGAGATGCTGACTTCTTGTCTGCTGGCCATTGGACACAAGGGGCCCAGAGTGTTGTGGCTGTGTTCCAACAAAACTTTACTTACGGACACGGAGATTTGAATGTCGTATAATGTTCACGCATCACAAAGTATTCTTCATATTTTGATCTTGTTTTCTGAATTCACTTTTTAGAGAAGTTTTAGGTTTGCAGCAAAATTGAGTGGAAAGTACAGAGATTTCCCAATACACTACCTGCCCCCACACATGCATAGCCTGTCCCACTATCAGCACCCTCCAGAGTGGTACATTTGTTACAAATGATGAAACTGAGTTGACACATCATCACCCTAAGTTCATAGTTTACATCATGATTCACTCTTGGTGTTCTATGGATTTTGACAAATATGTAATGACATGTATCCACCATTATAATACCATACAGAATAGTTTCACTGCCCTAAAAATCCTTTGTGCTCTGCCCAGTCATCTGATCTTTTTTTTTTTTAACCATTAAAAAATGTAAAAATCATTCTTTGCTTGTGAGCCCTACAAAAACAGGTGGGTCATATTTGGCTCCCAGGCCAGTCTGATGTAATGGATCAATGTGATGTTCTGTGGGATATCCAGATGGTCCTGATCTAGTCAGACTATATTTTGACCGATATCAGGAGAATTACCACGACCCTGTAAGTGTGTGGGTTATATGAATATACATTATTATCTGTTGCATGTAAATGTGAGCTTCCTGATCCTTTTTCGTGATTGAGGTAGAAAAGAACACATTTGGCCCGGTCGGCAGCCACCTTGTATGTACTCAGACCACTCCAATCTGCTCTAGCAAAGATACCACGCTTGCATGGCAGCAGCAATCAGGGTTACTACTTGGTTGAGCTTGCGGTATTAATCATTTTCTCACATCCCATCCAGTTTTTGCAGAGGCCAGACCCGTGATTTAAATGGAGACTTGATAGGGACCACCCCTCCTGTATCCTTGAGATCCTTAACGGTGACACTAATCCCCCGCTCCCCACCCCGTTTGTGATTGTTTTTATGTAATCAGGTGCAGTTTTAGAGATGTCCATTTGGCCTTCCCTGCCATGATAACTCTTACCTGCAGGCCAAGGACTTAATGTGGGAGTTTCTCAAATTTCTAAGTATGTTGAGATCGCTCTGATTGCTCTTTGAGGGAACTGCTTGGAGAAGCCAGAAGTGTAATTAAGGAGACCAGTTAGGAAGCAATTGCATTGGTCCGGGTGAGGAATGAAGTTGGTCTGGTGGGATTGGAGAGAAAGCAGATGTACTCAAGACATATTTTAGAGCTTTAACTGACTGAATTCACTGATTTTGGATACGCTGGTCAAAGACAGGGGAAAAGCAAGAGTGGCTTGAACAGCTGGGTAGACGGTAGTGCCTTATACTGAAATGATGAAGACAGCGACAGGGGAAGCGAGGCAGGAGGATTTGGAAATCAAGAGTTTGGCTTTGGACATATTAAATGAAATTGGATTTTGGAAGACATTAAAACTGAGATGTCCATTAGGCAGTTGGACATGGGTCTGAAACTCAGAAGAGAATTGGATTAGAGAGGTCAGTGCAGAGTCAACAGCCTTATGATTGTATTGAAAACCATGGGAATGGATTGACTTACACTGGAAAAGAGGATAAAAAGATGAGAAGAGAGCTCATGCCAAGCCCTAGGAAAGCTCTGCATTTAGAAACAGATGGAAAAGGAAACGCTGACAGAGGATTGTCTCCGTGATATAAAGATGCTGTAGAATGGCCAGTGGTGCTGGTGGGAAAACTTAATACATGAGGTACAGCGGTGGACCCAATGAATTTAACACCCGGAGCAGGGGAGTTTTTAAAATAATAATAGCCTGGGGGCGCCTGGGTGGCTCAGTCATTAAGTTTCTGCCTCAGGTTATGATCCCAGGGTCCTGGGATTGAGCCCCAAATTGGGCTCCCTGCTCCGCAGGAAGCCTGCTTCTCCC